GCATATATTGCATTGCCACTTGGGGAGTAATGCAGCCACCCCAAATCCCTTACACCTCCCCATCCCCCATCCATCAGCCCTTATAAGCATATTCACAATCGCTGTCCAAAACAAATCAAGCCTGGCTCTGAAGGCAGGAATGAGTTAATGTTATCTGATAGTCCCATGCACTTTCTGCTCAGTGGATAAGCACTGCTTGAGGCGGGGGCTGCCACACAGAAAGAGGAAGTGGCATCCTCAAGGTCCCATTGCAAGACATGATAAGAGCCAAGAATAGAAGCCGGTTCCCTGACTCACAGCCTGGTGCCCTATCCCCTGGCTGTCTTTGCCTCCATACTGGCACTGCTTGTTTGCTTACCCTCTTCTTTCTTTACCCCTGTTGAAATCTCTGCTCCCAAGGCAGGATCAGACTTTGCATAAGGTGCTAGCTCTGAGGCATAGCAAGGCAGTCTGCATGGGGGGAAGTTAGTGTGACATGACTGAGGCCAAAGAGGCCTCCTGTCTGTTCTTTCATCTCTCCCTGTTAGAAGTACATACTTGGGGACAGGGAGCATAGAACAAGTGGGACAGGCCCTTCAGGCACTCGTGGTGATGGCATCCAATATCCCAAACAAAGGAAGGCTACATCTGTGTGGACAACGGGAAGCTAGAACACAGGAACTCACTGTACATAGACTGCCCAGATGAGGAAACACTCAAATCCCCACTTCTTAAGGTATGTCTACATTACAAGCACTACAGTAGCACAGCTACAGTATTACAGGTACACCAGGGTAGCATATGCACCTGCTAGAGCAAGAGAAGGGGGTTTTCTAGCACTATAATAAACTTACCCCTAGGGAAAGATATTGATAGAAGAATTCTCCCATCAGCCTAGCAGCATCTATACCAGGACCCAGATCAGCTTGACTGCACCTCTCTAGAGTGTAGCTAAATTAACCTAAAATGTGGACAATACCTTAAACTCTAAGCCCCACAACTAAACCATACCTGCCTCTGGAGATTTATACCTGCCTCTGGAGATTTCCATTACTTGCATCTGAAGAAGTGAGGTTCTTACCCACGAAAGCTTATGCTCCCAATACTTCTGTTAGTCTTAAAGGTGCCACAGGACCCTCTGTTGCTTTTAACTAAACCATAGTAACTGCTGAGCTTGCATTTCATCACCGAACTAAAGTTCACTACTCGTTACATCAGCATGACCTACTCACACCAGGGCATGCCCAGCACAACCCCTAGACCTTGCATGACTATAGTAATGATAATCATCTGTTCTGATGTACAGGCGAGTCGCATCATAAGCGCATTCAACTATACGTGCTCGGCAAAAATAAGAAAAACAACAAGATACCTGTAAATAGTGCGGGCGATTCCACACAATGAGTGTATGCCCCGGAGTGAGCGTGAGATGGGAGACGTGAATCTGCTGTTCCCTCGGTCGGTCTCAGTTCCTGCGTGCCTCTCATAGTGTCAGCATCTCGCCGCGCTGAGTGTGATTCTAGTGTTTAAAGATACGTATTTTTCATACAACATGGCCCCTAAACGCAAGCCAACTACTTCATCTGGTGCTCAACTGAAGAAACAGCGATCTGTTCCAATGCTGGAGGAAAAACTGGCTGTGTTGGACTTATTGAGAGACGGTACGTCGGTCTCCAACGTGGCATGTAAATATGGCCGCAACAAATCTAGCATCCGTGCCATCAAGATGAGAGAGAGAGAGAAATTCGTCAAGCCGTGGCATCAAGTGCTCCAATAACTGCTAAGGTGATGAGCCAGGTGCGTGATAAGACTTTAGTGAAGACTGAAAAGGCATTAAACTTATGGCTGGAAGACATGAATCATAAACGTGTGCCTATCGATGGCAACACGTTGCGAGAAAAGGCGCTTAGCCTCTACGCGCTGTTCAAACCTCATGCCGAAGAGGGACAGCCTTCTGATGAGAAGGAATTCAAAGCCAGCCAAGGTTGGCTTAACAGTTTTAGAAACCGCTTCAACCTCAAAAACGTGCAGACTACTGGTGAAGCTGCATCTGCCAATGAAGAGGCAGCAAAAGCCTACCCCGAACAATTAAAGAAAATCATAGAAGAAAAGGGCTATCTTCCGGAACAAGTTTTTAATGCTGACGAGACTGGGCTCTTCTGGAAAAAAATGCCCAACTGCACTTACATTTCGAAATCAGAAAAACAAGCCCCTGGCTTCAAAGCAGCTAAAGACCATGTGACTGTGTTGTTTTGTGGCAATGCAGCTGGGCATTTAATAAAACCGGGCTTGCTCTACAGGGCTGCAAATCCCCATGCCCTAAAAGGCAAGAACAAAAATATCCTGCCTGTGTTCTGGCAATCAAATAAAAAGGCTTGGGTGACGGCAGCATTATTTCTGGATTGGTTCCACAAGTGTTTCATTCCGGAGGTCAAGCGGTACCATGAAGAGAAAGGACTTGACTTTAAAGGGTTGCTGATTGTAGACAATGTTCCTGCCACCTTGCGGCACTCCGGTTTGCACACAACGACGTTGAAGTCGTCTTTCTCCCCCCCAATACCACCTCAATCCTCCAACCTCTCGACCAAGGCGTGATTTGCTGTTTCAAGGCCACATACACGAGGCTTACGTTCTCACGGATACGTAGCACTATGGATGCTGATCCCAATCTTAATGTGATGGAGTGTTGGAAGTCCTTCAACATTGCCAATTGCATCACTTATATTAAACAGGCAATGGATGCAATCAAGCCTGAAACAGTCAATGCATGTTGGCAAAACCTATGGAAAGAATGTGTGAATGATTTTAAGGTTTCCCGACCATTGACAAAGAAGTGAAACGCATTGTTTAGGTGGCCAGGCAAGTGGGTGGTGATGGCTTCGTTGACATCCTTGAGGAAGAAATTGAAGAATTAATTGAGAGCCATAGAGAAACATTGACTAACGAAGAGTTAGAGGAACTGATAAAATCGTCTACAGAAGACAAAGATGATGATGACGAACAGGAAGAGCCAGGAAGTTGGAATCTTCATAAATTTGCTGAAGTGTTCCAAGCAGCGAAACACTTGAATGATTTAATTTCTGAATACGATCCCTCTATGGAACAAAGACTCAAAATCACACGTAGTATTACGGACGATTTGAGACTGTATCAAGAAATGTTAGAGCAACTCAAGAGACAATAGCGACAGTTACCGATCACCATGTTTTTCAAAGAAAAACAGCCAGCAGCAGATGAACCTACGCAATCAACTTCTTGAGCTGAACCAGAGCCAACCACTTCGTCTGTGACTCGCTCTCCATCACCCAAGCTCCGTTTCCTGGATCGATATCAAGCCCTGACGACCCCCTGTAATTAAAAATACAGTACTGTAAAATTATATTTTGCATATGTACTCTTTATTATATACTGTACATTACTGTATACATTATACATTTATACATATTACTGTACAGGGTTGTATACACAAAACCATGTACAGTATATTGTATTTTATGGGCGATTTAAGTGATTTTCAAGGGTAATTTTGACTATACGCGATTTTCGCCTTACGCGCTGACTTTAGAATCTAACCTCCGTGTAAGATGCGACTCCACTGTATACAATCCAAACATAAACAAAGGCCAGCTAAAGCAACAAAATTCAGAAAGTGGAATTCTGGGGAAACAATATTCTAATTTATGTCAATGAGTCTAGACAGAGCTAGGTTTTCCCCATCTTACCTACAGGAGGAGCAGAGAGTTCCATTCCTCTAAATCTTCTAGCCTTGGGGCTGACATGGAAGATGGTGGGAAGTTAGAATCCAGCGGAGTTCCCTCTGAAGCACCAGGGTAGGCTGCAGGCCAGCTGGGCCCATTTTGCTTTGGGTTTTGGTGGTTTTTGAGGAGCTAGGGCAGAGCTGTTTGAGACAAGGGCTTTGGAATGGGGCGTTTCCAGGCAGAAGCCAAGACAAATGCGAGGGTGGTTTCTCTAGGCTGTGAGACATAGGGGCAGCATCCATGGGCTGACGGGTAACACAGCCTTCCTCCCTGAGAGCCCATAGGAACCCTAGCCCAGGCTGCTATTGTAGGTGTCTATGAGCCACCACTAGCCTACACTATTCCACGTTTCGCAGTACAAATGAGAGCAGGTTTGCTGCCCAGAAAATGCTGTGTGAAGATGGATTTCCCCTCCTCATAAGTAGTACCTCAGTATAAAGCAGGCTTGGTACCGCTGTGTGGATTTCAGTCTGCTGCAGAGCCCAGAGTCTGTTATTCACACAACTTTATTCCTGCAACAGGCATCCATTTTGGGGGAACCTTGGCTCTTTCCACATAACATAACAAGCACAATGGGGCTGTAGTCCTGACTGGGATCCCGGGACACTACTGACATAAATAACAAACAAGGCCTAAGGATGATTAAATACAGGCCCTAATTTAACAACAGGGAGCTATTCAGCATAAACTAGTGATTAGACCCCAGGGATGACTTTCAGATTCCAATCCCAGCTCTGGCAGTGAGGTAAGGTCCAGCCTTCACTGCTCAGTGCCTCAGTTTCCCTTTCTGTAAAACTAATCTGCCTCCTGGGGGTGTGAGTCAGATCACATTTGTAAGGCACTTTGCCGCTACGAAGGGCTGGTGAATGTTTCAGCACCAGAACTAGTGCCCTAGTGACACTGAAGGCAGGCTGGCGCTGCAGGTGTAGGCTGCCCCCAAAGCTCACCTGCTACAGGTCAAACTGGATGATCAGCGTAGTCCTTTCTGACCCTATGGAGCACCTTGGGTAATCTGCAGTGTCTGTGGGCCCCCCAGTGGAGTTCTGCACCCTGGGAGGGCTCTTCTCCATGGTCCGCACCTCCCGCCCCATTACAGGCGCTGGCAGGCCAGTGACGCCCCCACGCTGCCCTCCCCAGCCAGCTGACCCGTGGCTGCCCAGAGGGAGCTGGGGGCCCCCTGTCTAGGCAGCACCCGCTCCCCCATCAGTGGGAGGAGTCTAAAGTTTGCATGTGACGTTAGCGGGTCCTGGCCCCGCCCCGGGGCGGGCCCCTATCAGTCCCGTCCCTGTAACTTTCCCACGCCGAACTCTAGGGAGATGCTCCAGGTGCCCGGAGCCGGGAGCGCGCTTGGCTCTGTCTGCCCCGCCCGGCCCCCTCAGGAGCCCGCCGCCAAGTGACGTCCGGCTCCCCCAGCCCAGGCACGGCGGGCGGCACGGGAGACCTGAGAGTCTGGGGCAGGGCTGAAGGACCCGGTAACTTCCCGCGGCTGGAGCAGGCTTGCAGGTGAGCCCGAGGGGTCGCGGGCGCGGGGCCAGGCTCGGGCGGCGAACTCGCCCGATGTGAAGGGAGGGGGCGCGCCGTGCATGCTGTGTGCCCCCCTCCCCGCAGTCAGCGCTGTGTGGAGCCAGGGGCTGTAATTCGGACAGGTGCTCGGCTGCCGGTCCTTCGCGCTGAGAGAGTGACTCTGGTATGAGTCTTTCCCTCCCCCCGGCCAGGGGACAGCAGCGCCCATGGCGCGGGAGGCAGGAAGGCTGCAAGAGGCTCGCTGCGCCTCCCGGGGGACGGTGGCGGGGCAGAGACGAGGAGCTGGAAGCGGCTGGAGCCGAGCACGGGGACAAAGTTACCCGGGGAGGGAGCCTGTGGCGGTGCCTGGGCACTTTGCAGGAGAGCTGCCGCCGCGCCCCCGGTCGCTAGCGGCTCCTTTCCATGCAGCTCGCTGCAGGCGCCCGGTGCAGCATGTGCGGGGGAGGGGGAATGCTCTGTTCTGCTCCGTTCTGGCCAGGAGCTGGCACTGGGCGGGAGCCATCGGGGAATGGTGCCCACAGGCCAGCACCCCGGGCTGTCAGGCGGGGTTACCCCGCAGCCGGAGCGGCGGAGTCCACCTGGCCAGGATCCGGGGGGCTGAGGACTGATCTGCGCCCAGCTCGGGCTGTTTTGCCTTCCATCCCCTCCCCCTAGCTCACCCCCTTGCGAGAGACGTGGCGCTAATTTCCATGACAACCGCTAATGTCACAAATAAAGGGAAGGCGTGGGGGGGGGGGCTGGGCTCCAGCGGGTGTTCAAGTTTTGCCAGGCAGAATGGGGGGGGGAGGGGGCACGCCCTGGGCGAGGGGTCTGTGTGCGTGGGCCGCGTGCTGTGCCAGCGCCGGTGTGGGGGTGGGTGCAGCATGCCTGTATCTGGGGCCATGCCCGCCTGCGCCTGCAGGGGTGTGTCTGCCTTGCTCAGCCTGCGCGGGCAGGGGGCTCCCAGGCTGCCCTCCTGGGGTGAGCAGGTGGTACCTGTGGGATCGTGCCGCTGGCAGAGCATGCAGGGACGGCGTGGAGCCATCGCTGGGCAGGAGGGGAGTATGTTATAACAAGTAGATTCTCTTCCCCTCCCCCCCACCTCCAGCAGGTGCAGCGACAGGGGGTGCTGCCCATAGTTGGTTTCCATCCACTCCAGCAGAGCCTTGCACATGCTCAGGGCTGTGACGTTAGCCACGTGTGCTGTGTTTGGCTCCTGGGTGGGGATGCACATGTGATGGCTATGTATGTAAGAAGGGGGAGGGGTTGGAGTTCTGCATCCCCCTTTCTCCCCATGACTCCCTAGCTGGAGCTATCTCACAAAGCCAGATGCCCTCACCCCTTCCTTGACCTTCGTTCGTAGGGTGTCAGGCCCTGGCTCCTGCCTCAGACCCTCAGTGGGGTTGGGTGAGATTGTTCCATCCTGCCCTCTGCATGTGGCTCTGGCTGGGCTCTGGCCTTCTGCAGAGTCATCTGGGTAAAGGCTGGAGGGTAGGGCCGGGGCAACCCTGTGGTCCTCTGCCCCCTAGCCTTTAACACAGTCTGTCAGATCTCTCTACCTCCGATGGGCTCTGACCCCCGCTGCCTCAGATCCCTCCTGCATCCTGATGCCTTCCCTTGGCCTGAGCTCCCTGCTGTAGCCCCTGGGCCAAGTGGCAAGCCAAGGGCTTGCACTGAAGTGGGGTCTGTCTTGAGGCCAGAACTCACCATCACCTGGGGCTGGAATTAAGGAATGGAAAACATACAGAGAGAGGGAATGAGGCCAAGTAATAACCTCCCATTGCCACTTGGCTTATGGACGACCTAATGCTACCTGGGACTTTGGGGGGCATGTCTGAGCTGCCCAGGATCCTGCAGAGCCAGTGCTAGTCTCCCCTCTTGCTTCCTGGGGCACCGTGTCCCAGTTCGTCTCTCACTGGGAGCAGCTGGTGGGTGGGGCTGGTGAATTCTCTCGGAGTACTGTGAGTGGTTGTTATTGGGAGCCAGCGATGGTTCCTGTCAGAGTTCATGGGCTGGGTTTTCCCTCCCAGTAGCCCCAGCACTGTGCTAGACTGCAGGGAGCGGGAGTGCTCACTGAAGTCAGAGGCTGGCTGTTTGGGGCTGGTCTGTTGCTCAGCACAAGCCTTGCCCTGGTTTGGGACAGCTGCTGGAGGGGTTTGCAGAACTCCATGTGCAAAGGCAGTTGGTTTCAGGTGTGAGAGCAGGAGTCAGACTCCCTGCTACCTTGCTGAAGAGCCATCAGTGCCTACAGGCTGGGCCCCAGCCTCTGTGCTTCAGCCAATCACAGACCCATGGGCTTAGACAGGACCGTAAGGATCATCTAGTTTACCCCCCTGCCAAGATGTAGGATTTGTTGTGACTAAAAGCATCCTTGGCCCCCTTAAAATGCCTCCTAATGCACCTAGGAGGCACCGCAGTGTTACTCAGATTCCCAAAATGTCTCTGTTCCTTTAACTCCTTTTCCAGCATGTGACTCATGAGTGTCATGTGGCAGTGAGTTCCATAGGTTATCAGCTGAGCCTCCCTCCTATTCTCCTGTTATGGGTTAGGGAGGAACCATGTCATTTCCACTAGATCCTGCGGGATCCTTGCAAACCTCAGCCAAGTCCACTCGGAATAATTTGCAGTTCCAGATGCACTGACCCTAGCAACCCCCAACTCTTTTGTATGTAATGTCCCCTCCCCTCTATCACCCTGACTCCCCCCTCTCCCCCTATCCCCACTGCCTTATCCTGATCTGTTCTCAACGTTCACCTTTACAAGGACAGGATGTGAGTGCAGGGTTTGAAGTGTGAACAAACCACTGATTTATAAAACAGCACTCCCCCTTCCCCATTCTTTTAATACAGCCCAGCAGCCGACTTTCCTTTTTTCTGCTGCCGTGATTGATGTTGAGGCTATTAGATTCAATAAAGGCTCTTTCCTAGGGTTTCTTTATGATCTGCAGCCATCTCACTTGAGCTCTGTTCTCCTCAGATCTCACAAGCTAAGTAGGGTTGGTCCCTGCTTGATACTTGGTTGGGAGAGCTCTGATGGGTTCCCTGCATGGAGCTCTGCCAGTGCCCCTTTAGTCCCAACCTGCAGCCCCCTGCTATGCCAGCCCTGTGCTTCTATCCCATCCCAGCTCTGCCAGTGCCACTCAATCCCGACTTAGCACCCCTGTGGTCTCCATCTTACTCCTTGAACCACCATGAACCATCCCTTTTAGGCTGTTTTGGGGGCTGATATCACAGCCCCATTATTTAGGTCCATCTCGGGGGGCCTGATCAGTGGCTGTTGCTCTTCCCTCTGGGTTCAGTCCCTCTCTAGTCTGATAGTGTCAGAAGAGAAGCCACTATTTCTGGAGAGGTAGCCCAAGTGCCGCCCGGAGCGAGCTGTCGCCTCCCGGATACATGTGCCCTTGAGTGAGCAAAATTGCCCTGCTTGCTGCTCCGTTCTCTGTCAGCCACTTGCCTAGTTGGAAATGGAAGCAGAGCTCCAGAAAGCTCTAGGCAGAGGCGGCTGCTTATTAATCTCCAAGGTTGGGCTCAGACTGTGACGGCAGGCTGGATGGTGAAAAACGAGTCGGGTGGGGGTGAGCGCGTAACAGGCCGGGGCTATGTGTATGGGCTGAGGACAGGTGAGGGCTGGGAAGCTAATTTAAAGCCGCAGTACAGCAGCAGGGATGTTTATGTTGAATCGGGCTCCTTGGCTTGTGAAAGCTGCGTCATCTCCTCATGCCATCCACGCCCTGCCTCCCACTTCCCCAGCTATTGTCTTATGCTGTTGCGTCTTGTCTTAAATTAGATGCTAAGTGATTGGGGGCAAGGGCTTTGTGTGTGTGTGTGCGCATAGCATCCCTTCCCCAGTCTGGTTGGGGGTCTGCTGTAACAGACAGAAGAACATCAACAAACTCCTAACTTGCCTGCTCCCCTTGTCACCCCCAGGACTCTGCTGGCATCACCAGGGTGCAGATCTCTGCCACTCAGTGCCTGTGACCAGAATTATGCTCCTGCGGTGTTGGCTGCAGCTGCCCCACGGTGAATCCCCTGGCTCCTTTGAATTAGCTCTGCCTCCCCTGCTCTCCGTGACACTGCCCTGTGTGGTCTTATCTGTGCGTTCACACAGTGAGCTTCCCACAGAGCCTTAACAAGGATGTTAGCAAAACTGGACCTGCGCCCAACCCCACACAGCCCCTTTTCCCCAGCTAGGCACATGGATGGCCTAGGGCAGCAACCCACATCCATGGGGCCTGGTCGTGCTCACTGAAGTCAATGGGAGTGGAGAGCATGTGACCCCTTTTAGGGGGTGCTCAGGATGTGCAGAATCAGACCCAGCCAAGCCATGTGAGGTGTTACTGGATGCTCTGGAATGCTGCTGTAATATCTGAGTTACCCTGCCCTGGCTCCCCTGAGCCCGTGATTATAGAAACCCAAAAGCTGTCGCGTTTCCTTGGCACAGCCTCTTCCTTTAGAATGCCAAGTGCTGCCTATTGTTCCTGGTTCCATTCTCCTCAAACAGCTGCCAGGTTCTTTCCTGGCTAGTGCCCGTTCTGCCTGGCTGAGACAGTCAGACCTAGCTGGCGATGTTCTCCTTTGCTGTGCGAGGGCCTGGCTCTACATTCACTCTTCGCCTGGCTTCTGCCTCTCTTCCTGCCCCTGTCCCTAAAGCTGCCATTGGTGGGGCAGTGACTCTGTGCCAATTCCCTCCATATCCAAGTGCATGGGAATGCCACCTGATTTGTGGCTGTGCAAGCCCAACCTAATGTGCATGAGACTGCCCCCTGGTGGAGCAGACTGGAAATGCAGCATCCACTTAAGTAATATTAAAAACTTGAGGTCTTCGCTTTATTGCTTTTGAATTCTAGTAGTACAATGACCGACACAGCCAGGAAATACCCCTGGTGTGTCTCACTATTCTCTGAGTGATAGCCGTGTTAGCCTGTATCAGCAAAAACAACGAGGCACCTTAGAGACTAACAATTTTATTTGGGCATAAGCTTTTGTGGACTAGAACCCACT